TTTTTTTTTTTACCATACACCTAAATTAATTACAGTGGCGCCGCGGTAATCCGGACGCCAATAATCCGGACGCTTCACCTTCCGGACGATATTTTTGGGAACCGATTTTTTCCACGTTATTCTGTCTCATTAATCCGGAAATTCGCGTTCCGGATCCGGACGGTCAATTTCTACTACAAAACGTAATATTTCATTGAAAAATGACTCATTAATCCGGACGGTAATTTTTCGAGGAATGACTTTTCACACCTTTCTTGCAGTAGTGATAATTATTGTAAAAACATTGTCCGTGGAGTCCGTTTGAAGGCGGTTACCTGTGACCTCTAAACAATAGCGTCTATAATTAGCGTGTGTTTACCTCAGATAAAACACACGTCTTTTATATCATAAAGTCCGAAGAATTTAGCTTATACTGTGCATTAATTAAATTGCTAACGGTATATAAATTTATGAGAATTTTGGAAAGTTGTAAATATTTTTTTTTACTGAATAATAAATCACGAGATTTCGTTGTGGTATCGTGTTGCGTAAGTTTATTAAAATACGACCGTAGTACATTATTTGAAACGTTTTTTATTTCTTTTCGTAAGACAATTTATTATGATACATAATTCAAGAAAATATATTTCTATTAATGCACTAAAAATACGTAACTGGCGTTAGTTATAAATGCCGATCACGTCTTTTCAAGATACATAACTAAAGAGTTTATAGAAAAAGTATTGATTATCCTGAATATGGCTTGTGTTTGCAATACGTACACTGATTACAAGTATTTAGTTACTTACTTCCCTATGTAGTGAATATACGCGGTTAGTCATTTGAACATTCTCAGTGGTGATAATGAACAGTTCTAGTTAATATGAGCTTGAATAAATAAAAAAAAAATGTGCCGAAATAAAACAGTAGCAGATCTAAATTTGGTCAGCCCATGTAACTACACGTCAAATAGAAGGCGAGTAAAGTTTCCTGTGTTAGAAAAGGAAGTCTCAACATAAAACTGCCTATCCATTTTTCATCGTGTAAATTACATTTTAATTTTTTTCTTTTTTAAATATTTATTATTTCTTTTAAAACTAGAAAAATGAAATCAATAAGTCAAGGTAAAATAAAGGTGTTTTCTTTGCCTTCACATTTGATACCACTATGTTCATGTGTACATGCTTTAAGAGGATACTTCTTTTAAGAAGTGATTCACTTATCCGGACGATTCATTTATCCGGACGATTTCGTTGGGGACGGAGGCGTCCGGATTAACGAGGCGCCACTGTATTTTTTATATAACTGTTGAAATTTAATCATATAAAATAATAAATAAGCATAATTATATTAGTATAGTAATACAGTTTTACATATCTGTAATATCTACAGAGGATATGAATAAAAAGGTGGGGATGATTAAGTGCTACATAAAGGTACCACTGTTTATATGCAGAATTTTCTTCATCTAAAAATTATTCATATAATGAACTGCATTATATACTGCTATTACTTATGCAGACATTTATTTTTTCTATTTTGTTGTGAGCTGAGATGTTGTTTTTTTTTTTAAGAAAAAAGGGGGGCTTCTTAGATATCTTTACCAATGTTTTTCTCAACCATTGCAGTCCACAGCCACACCCACTGTTAAGTTCAACAGAAGAGATGTGAAATTGAGACTTGTAGTAAATTACATCTGAAGTTGGGAATAAATCTCTCTCTAAATCTCTCTCTCTCTCATTAATAAATGTTATTGTTTAATTAATATTTGTCTTGTAGGTACTAGTTTCATCTAAAGTTGGGAATATTCTCTCTCTCTCTCAGAAAATACGTATTATTTAGACCATGTTTGTTTTGTAAATTATATGCATGTACATCTTAAGGTGGAATAATTTCCCTAATTGTGGAGAAATATAAATGTTCAAGAGATATAAACAGTGGTCAAATGTTATCATCTCATGAAGTCATTTAATATTTTGCACAGATTTTTCTTCATGTGCAAAACAGTGTTAATTTCCCCATTGTTTTCTCGTGACACAGGTGTTTGTACTAGGTGACCTTTTTGGCCTACACTTCGTAAATTTCAGCTTGTGTATTACGCAATGGTACAATTTTACAAAGGTTGTTTGAAATCTAAAGTAAATCAGTCGTAATAAGGGTGGCTAGAAAGATAAACAACAACATACAGTGTGTGTATGTTCATTTATTAACAAATATTATGATGTTGGGAATAAAGACTGCCAGTTATATTAAGATTTTAGCAGAATACTAGGACATGTGGATTTTATTATTTGCCTGATTAAATAACCCAGTTTTACTAGTTATTTTCATAAATAAACAAAATATTTAATTCAAAATGGCGGCAACGACACAAATATGGCGGCCCCGACGTCCGTTTTGTCCGTTTTGTTGGAACTCTGTTTCAAAATTTTAACACCAACTGGCTTTTTAATATTTAAGATAAGTTTCAAAATACACAATCATGTTAATTTGGATTTAAAATAAATTAATTATGAATTATTTATTTATTTTTTTCAATCACGTGACTTATTCTAAGTCTCTGATTGGTCAACAACAGAGCGCGGATTTTTTCATGGACGATTTGAATGTTGGCGTGTTGAAAGTGTTGATAGAAAAACGATGATAAAATCAGTCGGTAAGGCAATATTTATGTTAATATTTTGATGTTTTTGGTAAGAAATGTTTATTACCTCTAGAAGGGCATTCAAAAAAGAAGAAATATGTAGAATGAACAAAATTTTAGGCATGTGAATCTTAGATTTCTTGTTTGTTTTGATTGGTATGTCAATGACAAAGACTGAAGTTAAGAAATTGAAACATAATATTTTTTCAGCATTTAGTATATGATCAAAAAATGTTGTTCTTTGTCATATTTAATTCTTTAAATATTCCTATAGATCAGTTTAATTATTAAATGACCTATATTTTGTAATTGTTTAACAGATTCTCTGAACTGTTTTAATATTGTACATATTGTAGCCTTTAAACACCACATGATCATAACATGATATAGTGTACTGAAATGAGTAAAATAAAATTTCTAAATTTTATTTAATCACAGCAGTATACTGGTACATTATTTCTTTCCATGAGCATCTCACGTCTGTGCCAAGCTGGAGTGAAATTCTTCAAAAATATCACCTGTTTTAGGTAAGTAAATAATCAAATCTTATTTTTATTTCAAATTCAATAAATCTAAAGCTAATTCCTATAAAGCTGTCAGGTTCTATATTGTTCTTTATGTTTAAATTTTTTTTAAATGCATGTTTATGTGATGAGCCTTCAGGTTGAATTTTCTCAATTACACAACAGAACTCTAAGTCTTGTTTTCCAAGTTATAGATGCATATGATTTGAATTTGAATGAATTGATATTAAAGAGTGGTTCCAATCTGATATGCTTTGAGTGCAGGAAATACTTCAACTTTTAAAAAAAAAAAAAATTAAAATATTTAAAGTTTGAACCTTTTTAATTTTTGCAGAATTGAAGAAAAATGAAGAGAAGGTTGAAATCGCAAGCATATATTTTCAAATGAAGACTCGGACGACTACCAGTGCAGGCCATTGAGGGGCGCAGACCATCTGCCGGCGGGCCAAGTCCCTCGACCAGCTCGGCCGAATACCAGTGCAGCCTGTCGAGGGGGACATACTGCTGGCTGGCCAAGTCCCATGACTACTTCAGCCTACTACCAGTACAACCTGTCAAAGGGCGCAGACCGCTGGCCGGACGGCCAAGTCCCTCGACCAGCTCGCCGACTACCAGTGCAGCCCGTCTTTAAATAATCCAGATAAAAATCACAACTGTACATCCACAAGGATACCTGTGCAAGGACTCGGGTGGTATGCAGCTAAGAACCGTGACCGAAATCACTGCTGAGAACCTTTTTTTTTTTTTTTTTTTTTTTTTTTTGAAGTACAGCTAGATCATGGTGCTAACATGAAAAACTAGAGAGTTAAAACCTAGGCAGTGATGCCTATTTATAAAAGTTCACAAGAGTAGAATGCAGTATACTAGGTAATTTTACAAAAACCCTTATGACTATGTGCTAAAAAAAATGTATTTTAAGAAAACAACCATTCTGAGAAATTTCAATCTGTTATGATGGCTTGATGAAAAATAAGGTAGACTTGAAAACATGCATGTGCATTCATTTAATTGTATTTGACAATGAACCAAGCTCTCTTAATCATGTTTATGAAATAAAATTGTAAGTGCTTTTAATTTTTTTTGAATAATCTTTTTTGTATAAATTTTAATAATCTTTTTGTAAAAATTTTAATAAGTAGCTTTTTTAAAGCTTATAATTGAGTAATTCCACCACAGGTTAACACGAAGTGTATAATTTTATTGTAACTTTTATTAGGTATAACTTTTATTAGGTATAACTTTTTGTAGTTATAACTTTTTTTTAGGTATAACTTTTCTGTAACTTTTTCATAACTTTTTCATAGTTATAACTTTTCTGTAACTTTTTCATAATCTTTAAAGGTATAACTTTTCATGGGTATAACTTTTTTTAGTTATAACTTTTTTATAACTTTTTATTAGGTATAACTTTTTTATAACTTTTTTAATAACTTTTTCCGGGTATAACTTTTTTGTAACTTTTTCCACCGTTTATTTGGGTATAACTAAAGTATAACTGTGTAACTTTTTTATAACTTTTTGTGTAACTTTTAAAAAGTATAACTTTTTGTAGTTATAACTTTTTTGTAACTTTTATGCACTTGCTGTATTTATGTTGAAATAAAAAATGAAAACTTATACAAAAGTTATAACATTTTTGTAACTAAGTTATAACTAAATTATACCTCACTTAAAACAGGCGGTTCCAAACTCCGATAACTTAGTTATAACTTTTTTGTACCTTTTTTTAGTTACAAAAGTTATAACTAAGTTATAACTTATTTTGGTATGGGTAATGATGCAATGTTTTTTGCCAGACTGGAAACTAAAAAAGCAGCAAGAAATTGCTCAATGTGTTTTGTCCCCTAACTCACCTTTCCAATGTTCTGAACTTGTACCATCTTTCTTGGTGCATGTATTACTGAGTGGCTGAAACACAGACTCCCAGCCAGCTGATGCATATCTCCAACCTTGGGACTCCAGGATCAAAGTCCGTCCAGTGGCATACCCCACCATCATACAGTACACTACATGATGAAGCTGGCAGCCATAACCACAGCCCTTACTAAGATTGCAGACAACCTTCTTTGCTTTACTGCAGTCCTTGGGATTCTACAAGAAATTTTATTAATGACGTTACCATGGTTGTTATGTATATTACAGCAGGATAAATAGCATGAAAGTAAGATCAGGTAGCAATTATGATTCCAATATTTCTGTTGACTGGAAAAATAATGTTTTGTTAGACACAAACAGCAATGCTGACATTGAATAGCAAGAAACTGTTTTATCTTTTAAACCATAATGAGATGGACAGTCAATTAATTTAGTGATGTACGTGTAAATGATGAAAAATGTTGGTCACCCAACTGGGTCAAGGGGGGAGAAAATATACTTCTGACAAGGATTTTACATGGAGGTTTTTCAACACTGACCTTTCATCCAGAAAATTTGTTAAAATCACTGTATACCCTCTACCCATGGGCACTCTATTTGTGAAGTTAGTGCCCAACTAAGCCAAGGGGATGGAAAATATGTTTCAGACAAGGACATAGAAAGGTTTTTCGAAATTGGCCTTTCATATAGAAAATTGGTTAAGATCACTGCAAACCCTCTACCCATGGGCACTCTATGGGTGAAGTCTGAGCCTGACTATAGGCCAAGGGTAGACAAAAAATGTACCAAAAATTTTATACAAAGAGATTTTCTGACCTTTCATCTAGGAAATTGGTTTAAGGTCACTACACACCTTCTACCCATGGGCACTCTATAAGTGAATTACCGGTATGGCCAACCTGTGCTAATGGGAGAGTAAATATGCTCCAGAAAAGGATTTCACACAACGAGGTTTTTTTGACCTGGACCTTTGATATAGAAAATTGGTTCAAGGTCACTGCACACCCTGTACCCACAGACAATCTATGATTGAAGACTGAGCCTGACTGGGCCTAAGGGAGAGAAATTATTTTCCGGACAAATGAAATCGGATGGACAAATGATGGACAGACTTACAGACTGATCACTATAAGGCACCCGCACGGCGGGGCCCTTACTAAACACATACCCTCAGCCACAGGCACCTGTTTCTGTATTAAAGTCTACCTCATATTATGGGGTAAACTTTTGTTACCCCCCCCCCCCCCCCCCCCAATTGGAAAATGATGCTATGTGCCCAAGATGAAAGGGAGATAAAGGTCTATTCTTGCTAGTGGATGCTATGGAAGTTAAAAAGCATGAGAAAATCTTATAATGATCAAACAGATTTGACCAGCTTAAAACTAATCCACTGCATGCTTTATTTTAATAGCATCAGTTACTACTCTGTAAAGGAAGTATTAATTAATGGTCAATTTGTTTGTATTTCTTGAAAGGAAAAGATTAAAAAAAAAAAGCTTTGCAGAAAAAAGAACAAGGTTTGTTTGATATAATATTTGGCCCCAAGAATTTCCAAAAAATAAAGTTTAAATTGAATCAAAACTTTATAGTGGAAATAAATGTTGGATATATGTGAGATATTGAGAATGTGTCCCCGTTTAACTATTTTATCATGGTCAAAACATGCATGGAATGTGTATTTCCGGAAAAATTGTTAAAAATCAACTACTTACGAGCATTTTTCAATAGGTTATTATAAAAGTTGAAATGATTTTAAATGAAAAAAAATAAATATTAGATATAAATTAAATAAACTAAATAAACTATTAAATATGTTATAAATGCATAAATGATAAGTTTTCTATTAAAGTTTCATTCTGTTCATTCTTTACTAACATGGGTATTTAGTGACATAGATATACACCCCTTTGAATCCACACCTGTACATATACTTTTACATGACCACACACATATCTATTGGTCAGATTTTGATTTGGATAGATTTCATTGGTTGTAAATTTGGTCTTTGTCGGGTACTGAGTTTTATTCAGATTTAGCTCAAGATTTCATGGTGTAAGACATACAGTTTAAGCTGCTGACTTTATTTATTTCTGAAGACCTAAGACAGTTCCTGAAAATGTAAGTTTTACCTTTTTTATGCCTTAAGATATGTTTTCCATAATTTATGTGAAATAGGTGGAAAACAGAATATTTCACTTTTAAATGTTAACATATTGAATTATCTGTCTGTAAAATCAGATGTAGATAAATCTGATAGAGTTTTCTTATTAATTAATTTGTATATATATATACCTAGAAATATTTTGATGTGAATATTTTGGTAATCAAACTAATTTAAATATCTATTGGTTATGAGAAAGGTATTTGTAAAGAACAAATCCCTGATTATTTTATTTATTGTACATAGATAACACCATAAGTAAACCATATAAATAATTGAAATTGGAGAAAGTTCAGTTCCATAAATTGGTATGTCTATCTGTATATATATTTTATGATTTGTAAAGAAACATAAAAGAAAGATAACTCTTCACAAGACTGTAAAGAGTAATTATGTTGTAAGAGTTAACTCCCTTATATAGAATAGCTTCATTTTATCATATCGAGTTAAATTGATAAATATGATAATTAATTGTAAAAGGGAAGACAGATAATTTGTTATAGTTTTAAATTATGATCAGAATATTAGATAATTGATATATTGTTTGTACATATTTTTATGACGCAATTTGTATATTGCAGGACATTTCCATTATTCCATAAATTCCATATTATCCATTTATCTATCATCAACATGTCACCATAATAAAAGAATAATTTAAAAGTTACAACAACTGTGTTTCCATCATTGCTGGGAATACCCGCTACATTATATTGAAAATAAACACTTATTTAATTATCAATAAACTGAATGTTCATCTATTTTGCTTAATTTTTTACGCCTACTATATATGATAAAGGGACTTTAAATATTTCATGTGATCAAAGTTCTCACTCATTGAATGGATTTTTCCCCCACAAAATATGTAAGAAGTACCAACTCTACTGTCTGCTACCCCCCCCCTCCCCCGAAAAAAATAAAAATAAAATACATATTGTTTTTATTAGTCCCCTACCGGAGAAACCGGAGGGGACTATAGGTTTCCTCTGAGTCTGTCCGTCCGTCTGTCCCTCTGTCTGTTTGTCAGTCTTTCCCACTTGGTTTTCCGCACTTTTTTTCTAAACCCTTAAAGATATTGAGCTGATTTTTGGTATGCGAGTGTATCTTGATGGGTTACAGATCAAGTTTGCATTTTGTTCTGCTTCAATGATTTTTTTACGGAATTACGACCTTTTCAGTTTTTCATGGTTTTCCACAATTTTTTTCTAAAGGCTTGCAGATACTGAGCTGAGTTTTGGAATGGGACTTTACCTTGATGAGTTATAAATCAAGTTTGCATTTCGTTCCGCTTCATTGATTTTTGACGGAATTATGACATTTTCAATTTTCAATGGGAACCAGATTACACTTGCTGGTAGGGGACTAGTATTGCTAATGCAATACTCTCAGAATGCTTGTTACTTTCTGTTTGTTATGAACAAGGGGCCATCTACTTTCAAAGGCTAACTTAGGTTCACAATAATCATCAGCATATACATGTTAGCTGACATGATATCCTGTTAGACATCGCATCAGAGCATTATACTACAGGTAGTCTTGGTCAGTCTTAAGGAAACTCTACACACTGCACACTCAACAGCTAAAGAACTCTTTATTGTAAGGTAAAGATTTAAGCAGTTAGAGTGATCTGCCCTTAGACATACAATCGGATAACAGTGATTTCTGTTCACTATTACTGTCTTGTCATAAGGTATCGAATAACTTACAGGAAACAGTAACGATCTGGGCGGGAGAGGGGGGGGCATCCTGACCCATCCCTTTGGTTACATTTTCAAGTATAAAATTGGTATATGTAGTAAGATACTAAAAAAATGATCGGGGGGGGGGGGGGGGGGGGAGGGGTGTTCAGTTTGGTAAGATATGCAGAAAGGAAAAGTGACCCCCCCCCCCCTTTTCGAAATAGGTTTATCAGGGGTTTTTTTTTTGTCCTTTTTGAGTTGGTATGGAACATCCCCCCCCCCCCCCCCAAACTGGAAATTTCCTTAATTAATCTGCTCCGTTGCTGTCTATACCAGATGAAATCTACGCTGTTTCACTTTTCCGAGAATCATCATTGCTTTTCCTGGAAAAATCCTGTTTAACCGTGAAGTACTAGTATTTTTCTCTTTTCCGCGAAATTTCCATTAACCAGGTAGCACATGTACCTTTCGCTCCTGGTTAACTGGGGGGGGGGGGGGGGGGGGAGGGGGGGGGATGAATTAAAGTAAAAGTCTTTAAAACATCGTAAAAAGACCAGGTACACTGTAGCTCATCTACGCCCTGACCTACACATCTTCACAATGTCAAGGTTTTGTGAAATCACACCTCTTTACAAACGTTGTGAAGAGGAACGATACCACAAAACCTTGAATTTTGAAGATGTATTGGTTAACACATTTAAAACATCGGTAAAAATCATGTCTGTTCAATATCCCTTAGAACCTAGTATATTCATGCATGTGCCGAAACAAGCTCCAATTTCTGAAAAAAAAATTGATAAACTGACAACTAATAACTTGAATTAAATTCGCTGTTGGAATATTTCTAAAACGAATAAAGGAAGGTTGGCATGTGCTTTTCTTAATGATATATACTGTGCTTCTGGACATCGCAAATAAAATATTATAATACGCAGACACAAGTAATCTTTGGAAAATCAAGCCATGAAAAAGCAACATCAAGTGCTTGAGGAGAAGTAAACTGGGGTTTCTAAAATTAAATCAGAAAAGCAGGAAGGCCAAAAGCCGGCAAGCCATACTGACATGCACACAAAATCATTTTCTTTAACAACAGCAATCATAATCCGAGAAAAAGTTTAAAGGTCCTTTTAGTCTTTAACAAAGTTTGGTAATTGCGGCTTGTCAACTTAACAAACAAAGCTGTCTTTGGAACGTATGCTATTGCGGGCGCGGAATCGAAATGAGAAACCCACTTAGAATGTACTGTACCTGTACGAGGGGTTATCACAAAGTTCATGGACTGAGGCCAGAAAATTACAACTGCATAAGTTACATCAATGATTTTTCACACATTTATTCAATATCATCTTTTCTATCTACAGAATAACTATAAGACA